TGAAATTCCCCCCCCCCCCCCCCACACACACACACACACACGCAAATAGAATTCAATGTCAATCTGAAAATTACTAGTCAATTGTCTGTGAAATTTAATTTTTTTTCCAACAATGCATTTCCCACTTCCAAGTTATAAATCAGTTGCACGTGACTCGGAAAAAAACTACGGATTTTTCCGACTTGTATCCGAAGGTTTTTCATATGCATATTCCACCTACACATCACCGACAGAGTCATCACTGAATAAAGAAACAGTTTATTTTCGTAATGGAAAAGTGGAACAAGACACTGCCTCGCGCGATCTCGTTTGAAAAAAAGAAAAGAGGTGCAGACCTAAAATTAGGGTGATGTTTACTCAAGCTTTGACGATGACTTCAAAGAATCATGATTCATAAATTATCATCATTCCAGAAATTTTTATTTCTGTGGAAGAAACTCCGGTAATTGAACGGTTTTCGCGGGAGCAATATAACCGCCTTTTTTTTCGTACAGAAAAAAAAATAATGAAACATGGAGAACATGAATTTCCGCAGCATCTGGTCTAATGAAATGCACATTTTAATCCGCACACCCACAAAATCCCACGATTTAATGCACATGCATTAAAATCAGCTGTGACGCAATTCACCGAGAAAACTGGTGTTATAAACTGGCATGAGCCAGAGGCATTGAGCGAGGTTGTGCCCGCCAATCACGTGGGGTTTTCTCGTGTCTGGTGTTATTGGATAAAGGCCAATACGTCATTACCACTGGTACCATCGGTCCACACACTCTGGGGCTTGCCAGATCAACGTGGATCAGACTAGACTGTTTGGCGTCATGGAGTGCGTGAATTAACATTACCAGAGTTACCTTGTTATAATCTAGGAAGATAATGGATCTTTCGATTAATAAGGCGAGAGAAAAATATTCTTCATTCGTTCACGTGCTTATGCAACACTTGTACATGATGAATTCGGCATTTATCATTTTGAGAATGATTATCTAATGCGGTATTGTTTTTCAACATTGAGACTGCTGTTTTGTCCTCACTTGCCCCAGAAATGCAGAAATGAAAAAAATTTTTTTTTCACCCGAAGCCAAAGTGCCATATTTAGCCTTTTTTCGGGGGGAAAGTCGACTTTCGCCAAAATCGAATTTTTGCGCCGAGTGAACGTTGATTCTGTATTTTCTGGCCCGCCTAATGCCACTGAAACCCTCATTTGCCCCAGAAATGCAGAAATAAAAAAAAAATTTTACACGAGGTACTGTACATAGTCCCGTCAGTATTTTTCATAAGTTGCTCTGGATTCATAAAAGGGGTTATGAAGCAATAAGAAATCATTTGAACACATATCCGTAAACATTAATATGATTTATTTAAAAGAAGTGCGATTGAGCCTTTAAAATTTTGTAATTCAAGGCTTGGACCAAGCCGTGGCGCGAAGCATTGTTCAAGCCTTATGGACTAAGTCTGAAACGAGGTTATCATTTTGGGGCTGAAGGAGGGCTGATCCAAGGCTGAGCTGCAGCCCTGAGCATTTGCAAGCCTTGCTCCAGGGCTTGATGGGTCCTGTTTCTATCGTAAATTCCTACCTGGGCTAGGGAATTTTTATTTATTTGATTTCGCTAATTCTACTGCCACAAATAATTAATTAATTGAAATTAATCAATTGATTGAAGACGATTCAAGATAAACAGCCGATTAATTTTAACGCCTCGATGTCTCAAGCTATTGATTACTAAAGACTCCCCATTCTGTCCAATCGTATGTTAATGCGTCAGAACAAAAGGGAATGCTATAATTCTACCAGTACGTGATGAACATTGAGCGATCATTTTAACCCCATTTCCAAGAAATCTTGGCAATGCTCCCAGTATTCGACGAGCCACACGGGAAATTTCGCTCTGTCACGGACAAAGCCCCCCCCCCCCCCCC